AGCCAGTCCTGTGCATAGTATTATAAGTTAGTTCATATGCAGTGAGCTTCTGAATATCTGTTGGCTGGCAGAGGTCACATGTCAAATCTGCACATTATGTTGTCACATTCTGCTGAGCTAATAAGAAGCTACTAATTACATTACAGGAGTTACTTGGTTTTGTTTCTTTATTAGTTGAAACAATATCCTGTGGTTTTATTTTTCTTATTATCTTTGTTGATCAATATTATTGAAATTTTTACCCATATTCTTTATTGCCACCGATTATATTTTGATTGCTATTTTGCACTGTTTTTAGTTATATTTTTGCACATTATTTTTCTTATTTTGTCTTCAGGTTAGCACAAATAAAGAACTCAATTTATTTGTTGATTTGTGAAAATAAGTTGGGAATCTCCTTAATTACATATCCTTGCTTGTTTTCATAAATAGAAAACTGTTTATTTTATCAGAGTAAACATTCTGACAGTTTATTCAGTCAATGTTACTGCAATGGTTGGTGTGTGCACCTGGCTCCCACCTATCCACTGAGACTGACAGTGCCTGTAGGTGGCAGCCAGGTGAACTGTCCGTTACTGGAACAGTGGATAGGTGGGAGCCAGGTGCACAAACCTTTCCAGAGATAGTCTTACCTATCTGCCATTCCAATGAGAATTACAGCGCCTGTAGTTGGCAGTGTCAGTGTCAATAGGTGTGCGCACCTGGGTTCCACTTATACACTATTCCAGAGATACTGACAATGCACCTACAGGCACTGTTAATGTCACTGGAATGGTGAATAGGTGAGAGCCAGGTGCAGCTTTCTTACATTCTGATTCACAATAAACTCACCAACATCTATACCAATGAGCACATCCTTGGGAAACTTATCATGTGACCTGACCAAGTTTGAGGCTTTTTGGAGACCCTGGATGCAACATGAAGACTAATTCTTTGAAGCACATTCAGATATACTACAGCCCATACCTTAAACCACCTAATACAGCAGAAGCTAGAACATGTTCACTCCCTGCCTTTCAAATACCACTCACATGCTATAGTTTAACAGTTACTTTACAAGGGACTTGTATGCAGGTTTGTACTGGCTGACTGGTGGTCTGCTGTGTTTTACTTATAAGGCTAATCTACACAACAATGCATGTGCTTTAAACACAGTGCTTTTCATTTTCTACATTTGTTGTACATTTCCTATTCCACACTGCCTTATTTTGTACACTGCACTGTAGGTTCCTTATTTCACACTGTCTTATTTTGTACACTGTGCTGTACATTTCCAATTCCTCACTGCCTTTTTCTGTACACTGTTGTATACATTCCCTATTCCATACCACCTCATTCTGTACACTGCACTGTACATGCTGTGGCATTGAGTGGCAATACCACAGTGTTGGGTGGCCTCAAAGTCACCCAGGGTTCTCAGCCAGAGGGGCTGAGTGGCTCCAGGAAGAAATAATTTGTACCAGGAAAGAACTGCCTTTTCAGTCCTTTATGGGTTTTCTGGATCACAGTTTTGATCCTGGGGCCAGGAGATTTCTTAGAGCTCTGAGTGGGAGGAAATCTCCATTTCTGGGTCCATGCTTTGGTAGTAACCAGCACCTAATTGTGAACCTGCGCACATCCCTCATGAAGAGTGTGCTGGGATGTGTTCAGGGCCCCACCTGAGAGACAGGAGAACTCCACCCAGGAGTCAGTGTGGAGGCAAGTGCAGCAGGGTGGTGCAGGTTTGTGAAGCCTATGGTGAGGATTGGCACGTGATTGAGGTTGTCTGGGGGAACCAGACAGTGGCCCTGAAGATTGATGCCGGAGCAGCAGTGCTGCAAGAGAAACTATTAAAAGACTGGGACACCGTGAGTGTAGGGAACAACTCGGTGATTGGTGAGCCAATATATATATTCTGCTGAAGACAAGCTATTGTATGTATAGCTTCCTTGAGTAAATGCTGTTGAAATACCAATAAAGACTTTTCGTTCATGGAAAAACGCTGTGCGAGTGCTCTGTGAGCTCCCCAACATCACAATACCGTATTTCACACTACCTCATTCTGTACACTGTTGTACATACCCTATTCCACACTGCCTCTGTATAATGCAAATCATTCCCTATTCTGCACCAACTCATTCTGTACACTGTGCTATAAACTCCCTGTTCACACTGCCTCATTCTACGCTATACATGTAATCTCGAACTCTAAACCACACCATTTAAGCCCCACCCAATATCCAGCATAATGCAAACCACACCCACGTTTTGTGCCAGGAGGAAGGGGGCCCAATTTATAATCTTGCACACAGGCCCACTGCATTCAGAAAATGCCCCTGAAGACCAATGATTACTTGTCAATACATTTCTGTGAATTAGCCTATAAAATAGGTTAAACATATGTTAGTGGCAAAAAAGTAAAGAAAATAAAAATAACATAAGAGCAGCATAATACTGCTTACCTGTATTGTTGCAATATGACCCAGTGTGTGCTGGTAGTAATGGGTCTCCCTGGCTTTGGCTAAGGCTCCTTATAGGTGGCTTCTGGTAAACCCGGTCTTCATAAATAGGTTCTATGTGATGTTCAGGGGATTGTAAGGCCCTTAGTTCTGGGCCCAGGTGGCTGTGCTGACTAGTATAAGATGCCCGAGATCCTGCTAAGATAAAAAATTATGTAATTAGTTTTTCAAAGCAAAAATCAGGAAATTGAAAAATGAATTCAACACAGGTACATTCACTAGGTTTTTTTTCACCTATATGTGTAACTTTCTTGCAGAGGTATGTGACCTGCATAGAAAGTATAAAATTGTATTATACCCAAAGGTAATAAAAAAGAAGTCCCAGTCACATAAATGGTTCAGAGAATTGTATATTGTTTGTAGGGCCCATTAAAACCCAATACATTTTAACGGTTCTGGCGCCCCCTTAATAAGCTTGAGAAGCACTAAGGAAATTTGGACAGATAGAAATGAGAAATCCTAAGGGGGTTTCTCAAGAGCAATATGCTGCATTTAGGAGAAAGTCAGCTCCAGTCAACCATACTGAGACAGGCTTTATGCCCAACTGCAGCATATTGCTCTTAACATACTGCCTCAGGATTTTGGATTACTATTTGTCCAGATTTTCCAAGCACACACTGTTTATGCTCCCTGATGAAGGGAGCTCTAAAATCCATTGGCTTTTGACAGATGCTACAAGCAAAACACAAATCAAGGTCATAAGTGCTACTGGAGGCTTATGAGGTTACTGTTTGAAGATAAGAATACAGGATTCAGTTCCAGTCTCTGTATAATACAGTAGAGATTTCAAAAAGAGAACTGACGTGATGTCTCTTAAGACATCAGCAGAAGTACAAAGAGCTAAGAGAGTCTTTCCCTTAAAGCAGCTGTGTTAAGCGGGTTTAAATGCATCTGATGGTCCCTTGAACAAAAGAGTGATGACCCACTGCAGGACCCTGAGACGTCCATCCATTGGTCTGCCTAAGTAGGGTTTGTAAAAAAATGTGTTTTCCATTCATGCACTATACTTAAAGGAGAACTATGGGGTTAGGGCTTTTCCTCATAGTTCTCCCAAGGGTAACGGGAGGACACAAACTAGCATCCTCCCATCACCCAAAGCTCAGTATACCGCATGCTACAGCTCACAGTATACTGAGACACCGCAGCTGGAACGGATCCCGACAATTATGTCTGGATCTGCCCAGCTGCATGAGTGACAGCTGGCTCTGCCTATCTAGAGGCAGAGCCAGCTGTACCCGCCCCCTCCCCCATTTTCCACACTGCCTTATTTTGTACACTGCACTGTAGGTTCCTTATTTCACACTGTCTTATTTTGTACACTGTGCTGTACATTTCCAATTCCTCACTGCCTTTTTCTGTACACTGTTGTATACATTCCCTATTCCATACCACCTCATTCTGTACACTGCACTGTACATGCTGTGGCATTGAGTGGCAATACCACAGTGTTGGGTGGCCTCAAAGTCACCCAGGGTTCTCAGCCAGAGGGGCTGAGTGGCTCCAGGAAGAAATAATTTGTACCAGGAAAGAACTGCCTTTTCAGTCCTTTATGGGTTTTCTGGATCACAGTTTTGATCCTGGGGCCAGGAGATTTCTTAGAGCTCTGAGTGGGAGGAAATCTCCATTTCTGGGTCCATGCTTTGGTAGTAACCAGCACCTAATTGTGAACCTGCGCACATCCCTCATGAAGAGTGTGCTGGGATGTGTTCAGGGCCCCACCTGAGAGACAGGAGAACTCCACCCAGGAGTCAGTGTGGAGGCAAGTGCAGCAGGGTGGTGCAGGTTTGTGAAGCCTATGGTGAGGATTGGCACGTGATTGAGGTTGTCTGGGGGAACCAGACAGTGGCCCTGAAGATTGATGCCGGAGCAGCAGTGCTGCAAGAGAAACTATTAAAAGACTGGGACACCGTGAGTGTAGGGAACAACTCGGTGATTGGTGAGCCAATATATATATTCTGCTGAAGACAAGCTATTGTATGTATAGCTTCCTTGAGTAAATGCTGTTGAAATACCAATAAAGACTTTTCGTTCATGGAAAAACGCTGTGCGAGTGCTCTGTGAGCTCCCCAACATCACAATACCGTATTTCACACTACCTCATTCTGTACACTGTTGTACATACCCTATTCCACACTGCCTCTGTATAATGCAAATCATTCCCTATTCTGCACCAACTCATTCTGTACACTGTGCTATAAACTCCCTGTTCACACTGCCTCATTCTACGCTATACATGTAATCTCGAACTCTAAACCACACCATTTAAGCCCCACCCAATATCCAGCATAATGCAAACCACACCCACGTTTTGTGCCAGGAGGAAGGGGGCCCAATTTATAATCTTGCACACAGGCCCACTGCATTCAGAAAATGCCCCTGAAGACCAATGATTACTTGTCAATACATTTCTGTGAATTAGCCTATAAAATAGGTTAAACATATGTTAGTGGCAAAAAAGTAAAGAAAATAAAAATAACATAAGAGCAGCATAATACTGCTTACCTGTATTGTTGCAATATGACCCAGTGTGTGCTGGTAGTAATGGGTCTCCCTGGCTTTGGCTAAGGCTCCTTATAGGTGGCTTCTGGTAAACCCGGTCTTCATAAATAGGTTCTATGTGATGTTCAGGGGATTGTAAGGCCCTTAGTTCTGGGCCCAGGTGGCTGTGCTGACTAGTATAAGATGCCCGAGATCCTGCTAAGATAAAAAATTATGTAATTAGTTTTTCAAAGCAAAAATCAGGAAATTGAAAAATGAATTCAACACAGGTACATTCACTAGGTTTTTTTTCACCTATATGTGTAACTTTCTTGCAGAGGTATGTGACCTGCATAGAAAGTATAAAATTGTATTATACCCAAAGGTAATAAAAAAGAAGTCCCAGTCACATAAATGGTTCAGAGAATTGTATATTGTTTGTAGGGCCCATTAAAACCCAATACATTTTAACGGTTCTGGCGCCCCCTTAATAAGCTTGAGAAGCACTAAGGAAATTTGGACAGATAGAAATGAGAAATCCTAAGGGGGTTTCTCAAGAGCAATATGCTGCATTTAGGAGAAAGTCAGCTCCAGTCAACCATACTGAGACAGGCTTTATGCCCAACTGCAGCATATTGCTCTTAACATACTGCCTCAGGATTTTGGATTACTATTTGTCCAGATTTTCCAAGCACACACTGTTTATGCTCCCTGATGAAGGGAGCTCTAAAATCCATTGGCTTTTGACAGATGCTACAAGCAAAACACAAATCAAGGTCATAAGTGCTACTGGAGGCTTATGAGGTTACTGTTTGAAGATAAGAATACAGGATTCAGTTCCAGTCTCTGTATAATACAGTAGAGATTTCAAAAAGAGAACTGACGTGATGTCTCTTAAGACATCAGCAGAAGTACAAAGAGCTAAGCGAGTCTTTACATTAAAGCAGTTGT